CTGCCAGTCTGGCTAGGATGGCTTCTTTATCAGTGGAATGTGACGGGGGCGTAAATCCTCCTAGGCGGTGCCCCAAATCATACCTGGCACATCCCTCGTAATGTAGAAATCTGGCCTCCTTGATTTGCCAACATCCACACAACCTTAAAGATCCTCCAGACACTGCTTTCTTAAAGTGTTGACATTCTTGTTCAGATTATCTTTCACTCCTGGCGCCAATCGCTTCAGCACATTTTTCGGCTGTTAGAGGCTTTTCTTTCATGACGGTATTTTCTTTCAGATCTTGTAGTTTCCGCATACTTCTTTTAATCCCTTTCACTATCATAATTGCCATTTCCAGAGCTGGCTTCCCCTGACTTCGGATGATGCTGTTTTTATCTTGGTTGCCCTACCTGTCAGTCCCCAGGTGAACAGTGAGCACAGTTTTCTGAACTAGCTGAGGCCCATTCAAGGGGGGACGGACACGTGCATCTCTTATCTCGCTGTGGTTTCATTTTTCTGCTTGTCTGCCCTGGCCGGAGATTGTTTTGAGGAGTGCAGTGCGACTCGAGTCTCGGCCCACGGAGCTCTCGTCCGTTGCATGGTTTCTGAGAGAGAGCCGGGTGCTACCCAGGGTGCGGTCCCCCCTCCCTGTCTCCCGGGCACTTCTCATTCAGATGGAAAAGGTAGACATTAATAATTCACGGTGGGTCTGTAAGTGATGATCCCTCCTAGCCTGGGACTCCTTCCTTTGTCTTTTGTTCAAAAACACCTTGGGGAAGAGAGGCCTGATGGTGAGCCGGGAGGGCACTGTTTACTGCAATGATGAAGACAGACCGAAACTGACCAACAGTCAACAGCCCATTCACTCCCAGGGCTCCTTGTACGGATTGATGTATGGACAGTGCACCCCCCAGAAATACGATTTGCTTGCCTTTACATTCACGTGATTCCGTAGGCCTCAGAGGTCCTGTTTGTGTTTGTCTTCATACTTAAGTTTATTTTCAACGCGTGGCTGGTGCGTTGAAATCAGGATGGAGCGGAAAGTACTCTGACTGTCCTCTCTGGAGAGAAGAGGAAAGGAATATTCTTTCTGTCTCTTGGTTATAGATGGATAAAGTTGTGCCCGGTAGTAGAGGGACAGGAAGTGCTAACTAGAGAATCCGGGCTAACTGCACCAGTGTGCAGCAGATGCCTGCTTGATTGAGGGAGTGATGTTCCTCATAAGGGCTACGGGGTCTTCAGGTATAGCGGTTCCAGCTGAAGAGCAATAGGGTTTCATCTGTTTTCAATCATCTCAGCATTAGTATTCCTCAGGATTAACTCGGTCTGCTACAGGTGCAATTATCATTGCCACGTATATGTTGAAGAGCATTTCACATGTTTCGAAATGTAGTATTGAAATGACTTTACAAATATCACCTCCTTAGTTTGAGTTTTAGGATGCAGTTCTTGCCAATTCCTTTTCTCCCTCCCCGATCCTAGTAACTGAAGTCAGTGATTGCAAAAAAACAGACAAAAAACAAAACAAAACAAAAAAACCATGTCTTGCAGCACTTTTCTTCAGGAGACTTGTTGGCTTCAGTATCTCCCTATTTCACATAATGACTGTTTTCATAGTGTAATTTTATTTTTTATTTTTTTAAAAAATTTTTAAAATGTTTTTTTATTTATTTCTAGGAGAGAGAGAGAGAGAGACAGCATGAGCAGGGGAGGGTCAGAGAGAGAGGGAGTCACACACTGAAACAGGCTCCAGGCTCTGAGCTGGCAGTCAGCACAGAGCCCGACGTGGGGCTCGAACCCACGAACCGCGAGATCATGATCTGAGCGAAAGTCGGATGCTTAACCGACTAAGCCACCCAGGCACCCCAACATAGTATAATTTTAATACATAGTCTCTGAATGTTATAGATTCCAAAAGATTAAAGAAGAATATTGGGGAAGGGATTGAAAGGGCTTATGAAACTCTGCTGCCATTGTAATCTGATAAAAGAACTCTACGTATAGAATTTCAACTGCAAAAGTTTTCTAGATTTCCTTTCTTTTTCTTAATATAGCTTATTAGCTTTTATTCAAATTATGTATAAATAAATAATTATTCTTTATCTTAGAAGTGAAATCATTTCATAGCTCCACAGAACACACTTTTCTTTGAGGGGGAGGGGAGGGTGCGGAGCGAGAGAGGGAGAGAGAATCTTAAGCAGGTTCCATGGTCAGCACAGAGCCCGACGTGAGGCTTAATCCCATGACCCTGGGATCATGACCTGAGCCAAAATCAAGAGTCAAATGCTTAACTGACTGAGCCACCCACATGTCCCCAACAGAGCATACTTTTAATGTTAGTCAGACCCTCTGTTTCCTTTCTAATGGATGCAGTAGAGATAAGTGCTTTATTCATAGATTTACATGTGTTAACCTAAAGCTCTGTGAACTAAATTTCTTATGTAACATTTTTGGTTTCCTTTTCCATTAACAAATTTCTTTAGAAAATCCTAAATTATGGGAAAACTAGTGCTGCTTCTTAGTTTGCTAAAACTAGGCATGTGTCTTATCTGGGCTTTTCTTAAACTCATGATGAGTAAGAGGAAACCAGGCTTGGTTAGTATTTAGCACCAAAGGCCCATCAGAGAAAGGTCTGTATGGAAATAGGATTGGTATGTGGAGGGAAATGTAGAGATAAATGCAGTGAGTCTCTTGTGTAGTTAATAATAAAATTTCATTGTTGAACCCTGACCCAAAGGACCTATTTTCCTTAGTTTAATTAAGAAATACAGTGAGCTCCCCTAAGGGAAGCACCCATGTTAGATACTTTGTAACCCAGAGCATATTTTCTCTCTCTTAAGTTACAGTTACGTTTTCTGTTCTAAACTTTGAAATTAATGAGCTTGGAGAAAATAAAATCTGTCTTTCAAGGTCCTGTAGAATATGTTTGTAAATATATTTTCATCCATGGCTGGTAATGAAAAGGTAGTTGTCTTGTCGCTCTCTTAGAGTGCCACTCCCATATAGGTGACAAAGATTAGGAGCTTTAATCCTGAGGCCACAAGAAGAAACAGATCTAAGTTGTCAAAGGAGAGCCCAGAAGAGTAAAAACGTCATTGGCCATCATTGTTATGAGTTTCTCCTTCTTCGGGAAGGTACCATCTCTTCCAAGGATCTTTTTTTTTTTTAATGTAGTTAATGTTTTTAAGTTTATTTACTTATTTTTGAGAAAGAGAGAGTATACGTGAGCGAGCATGAGTAGGGGAGGGGCAGAGAGAGGGAGAAAGAGCATTCCAAGTGCGTTCCATTCTCACAAACTGGGAGATCATGACCTGAGCCAAAATCAAGAATCGGATGCTTAACTCACTGAGACAGCAAGGTGCTTCTCTCCTCTGAAGACCTTGAGGATTGTTTAGATGGAATCCATCTGAAATAGATAACAGATGTAGGTGAATTTGTGTGGGAATCCATCCTTTCGTAATACATATTTTCATGTTAGATACCTGTAGATGTTTGGTAAATCAGTGAGTGAATTAGTAAATAACTTTCAGATACAGATGACAAAATTTGAAAACGGTGACGGAAATCTGGGTCCCAGGTCTAACATACAAGGAACATTTTTTGCTACAGCTAAAGTTTTCTTGCTTGGAACCAGTGAGTTGAATCATAAGAGATTAGCAGAAATAACAAGTTTAAATGGAAAAAGTACATGGACCTTAATTAGTGAAATTGCCAATCGATTGCTTAGTTTTCCAGTTGTTCTACTGTAAAAATATCCATAAAGTAGGATAGAATTATTGGTAGTGGCATCACTAGTGTCGTTAATATAGGTATGTTTTTAATGTAAGACTTGGATCCTTTGCTGAAATTCTTTTGGGTATTTCACTGGGTAATTATTTTAGTTATCTATTGCTATGTAGCAAACCACTGTAAGGCCTGGTGGCTGGCAGCAACAACTGGAAGCATTTGAGTATCTCTCAGATCTGTGGGTTGACTGGACACTGCTGGGCATTTCTTCCAGTCTCTTCCATGCCATTGCAGTTCCATGGCCTCTGGGGCTGGAGTCACCTAGAGGCTCCGCTGGGGTCAGTGGAGCCGGGCTTCTCTCCTTCCCTGTATAGTCACAGAGCCTCTCTTTTCTATATGGCCTCTCTGCAATCTCTCAATCAGGGCAGGCAGACTTCCTACTTAGTGACTCATGGGTTCCAAGAGGAAGAAAGCAGAAGCTATCACACATTTCAAAAATGAAGTCTGGTCTGGCATGGTGTAACTTCTGCATTCTGCTGGCAAGAGCAAGTTACCAACTTACTCAGTTTCAGCCTAGAAGGGGGCAAGGCATGAGGCTAGATTTGGGGGGGGGGGTTGCTATTTGCAGAGATGAACTACTACAGTAATATGCCTTCAGCTGCTTTATCTTTAACTATAATGTTAAGTATGTGCTAATAAGTTTAAGCTCCAGTTCTGGGGGTGTTGAGGTTAACTAACCAAGACTGTCTACAAGTATGTAGTCAGCGAGCAGGACAGAAGAAGGACTGCACTGCAGAGGCTGGTGCTGTGAGCACATCACCTATTCCAGTCTTGACCAAAACTTGGCTAGATAGTCAACTGTCTCTGGCTGGGGAGGGACATCTGGATCCCCTGGGCTGGAACTTGGTATGGAGTCCCCCTTGCTGGCTCTGCCCACCCACCCCAGTGTCTCAAGGAGGCGAGGGGGGAGCACTTTCTGGGGCGGGATTAGTGCTTGGAGGGTGTGGAGGAGCTCTCCCATTCTGTCCTCCTTGGCAGTAAAGCTATACTTAGTGAATATCCACCACTGAGATGTCAGGGACCTTAGAGATCATCAGGTCTAACCTCTGACCCATGAACTTCATCCCTCTCGGCCTCTAGCACTGTCCTCAGCAGGCTAGAAACAAAGCTCTGCTTTTTTCCACGAAGAATGACAAGCAATTGCTTCTCCTTTAGAAACTGCCTTTTTGAGTAAGTGTGCATTGTGGCGTCCAGAGCTCACAGGCCCTGATTCTCACCCCCTCTTGCTGCAGAACGTGCTAATAGAAGCATCCACCAACTGAAGTGTGCCCTGAGAGAAGGTGATGGCACCATTGGAGAAGATGCTGTGGGTCCTGCGTTTAGTCCCGGTGTGGAAAATGGGGAAACGGAGGACGCGGGGGCTGCCTGGCATGAACTGCGACACAGCCATGCTGGTGAGTATGAATGGCTAACAGCCCTGGTCTGAATGGCGCATGGAGAGTATTTTAAACTCCATACAGTGAGGACTCCGGTCAATCCTCTGCTCTAGTGCTAGGGTTTTCTTCCGTAGATGCAAATCAGCTACATAATCCTTATGCTTACTATTTTGTTAATGTTTGTTTTTGAGAGAGAGAGACAGAGAAACAGAGTATGAGTGGGGAAGGGGCAGAGAGAGAGAGAGAGAGAGAGAGGAGAGAGAGAGAGAGAGAGAGAGAGAATCCAAAGGAGGTTCCAGGCTCTGAGCCGTCAGCACAGAGCCTGACACAGAGCTTGAATTCACGAACTGTGAGATCATGACCTGAGCCAAAGTCAGTCACTTAACTGATTGAGCCCCCCAGGCGCCCCTTAATCTTTTCCCTTTGACTCCACAATGCCTATAGGATGAAGTCTCAGATCCTGTGTGTGTCTTAGTAATATTTTAAGAGGCTCCATGCTACCCCTCCAGCCTCATTTTTCTGTCCACCTCCCAGCCCCCCAGTTAGATGGGTAGAAGCAGGGGTGGGTGAGGATAAGCCATGATCTGCAGTAAGGCTGATGACTCCATTGTGTTTGCTCTCTAGTTAATCAGCTCAAAGCTTTGTTACGCCAAGCAACTAAGGAAAGTGAGATGTCTCCATCTAGAAGGCAAAAAGTGTCCCCGCCGGTAAGTTATCAACATTTGCAACCTGACAGGAGCATTGTCTCTCTCTCTCTGTGTTTTAACTCTGCAGTGTCGTTTTAGTCTACAGATTCTGAGCAGGACGTTCTAATAGTGTATAGCATTGAAAGGAATTATCTTTCCTTTGATTTGTTTGGCTGAAGAAGAGGCAGAGGGAATCCCGAGTTTTAAATCTCTCGTGTGCTTGTAAAATGTTAAGTGAGGAAACAGTTTGGAGAATTTACTTTGCAACTGTTAGCAAATATAAAAAAGGAACAATGTGTGGAAAAGAATAGCCATTTTTTACAGGGTCTCATCGATATCCTATCATTTTTAGAATTTACTTAATTATATTTCTAGCTGTCCTGTGTAGTATTTGTTTATTTTGAAAGTCAAAGCCAAAGTATGTAATCTTATTCTGCATTTTAAAATGCATGGTTATAAAGTTGCACGAAATACTCTATTTTTGTCTGAAGTTGCTTTTTATTGGTATTGCTTTGGCAGAGTGAATTATTCCTGGTTGAGGCAGTATGATATGCTAAAGCCTGGGATAGATGTGAGGGAGGGAGAGCATCTGGCCAGGTTTAATGGCCAAAATAACAGTCTAGCCCCTAGGTCTATCTAAGGCCTATCATATACTTTCTAGAAGGATATTGTGCCTCACAGGGTTTCTGTAACAATAAGTATATTCTTAAAATTCTTTGTAAACCTGTGAAGTATGACACAAATAGAACATGCCATAGCAGCAATAACTACCTTGCAAATGCAAGGTAGTTGCAATGTGTGTGACAGCTGGATACCAAGGCTACATGCTAGACCCCAGGGAGACATGCGCTCTCCTCTAGTCACAGCTGAAATGTCATAACCACACCCCTGTATTAACACTTCATTCCAGCCTAACACACACCTTCAGGCTTAACTCCCACCTTGGAGAAATGTACCACATACGCCTATTCAATATTTATGGCTATGGGTTATAATTTTAAGACAGCAATTTCACCATTCAGTGAATGTATTGCTGTTGCCACCTAGCTTCTAGAATGCTCTTAAGCAGACAGGGGGTAGAGTACTTTCAAGTCTAGTAGATGCAGTTGCTGTGTCTGTTGAATGCTCAGACACGCTGATTAGCATTTTAAAGCTCTCCAGCAGCAGCGCTCTCACAGAGCCCTTGAATCTGGAGGTGGGAGGAGCCTCATCAAGAGTGTCATCAGGACAGCACACGCAGCACGTACGCAACAAATACACGGGTCTGCGCACGCGCAGCTACGGGGAGGGTGCGGCTTAGACTCGGAGTGTATACAGCCTACTTGGAACGATTACAAGCCACAGACATAATAAGCAGCTTTTTAAAGTTTAGATGCACTTTTATTTGTAAAGTTTATTTATTTATTTTGAGAGAGACAGAGACTGAGTGTAAGCGGGGGTAGGGGCAGAGAAAGGGAGAATCCCAAGTAGGCTCCTCAGGGTCAGCGCAGAGCCCAGTGGGGGGTTCGAACTCACAGAAACCGTGAGATCTTGACCTGAGCCAAACTCAAGAGCTGGTCATTTATCCGACTGAGCCACCCAGGTGACCACTCTCCTAGCCCGTTGCCATACCAGAAATATGGGGCTCTATTGACTGAAATCAAAGCACTGTTGTGATGGATACTATGACTTATAGTTTAGAAAAGTGGATATCCAGACTATAACAAGCCCTTTAAAATATATACAGGTGATTTTATTTTCCACAGAGTATTAGCTTATGTTGTTTTTGTTCTGTTTTTACACAGACTGTCTTTTATGCACCCACAGTGGTATTTAATTCTTATGTTCCATTTTCTGGATACGTTTCTATTAATATAAATTTATTATAGTTAATTGCTTTCTATTCACCACAGATAATCCATTTAATTAAAGTCACTTTGGTTTTTAAAGTTCTTAAACATTCCAAGAAGCAAAACTCTACTTAATTATTCTGCCATGAGAGCTGGTCCTTCATTGGGGCAGGAATTTCCACCAGGCTGACAATCATCTCAGACTTTCTCTGGGGTCATGAAACTGGTTAACACTCATTTTCCCTTCCTGATTTCCTCTTTTCTTTACAAAATATCATGGAATGATAAATGATTCTAGAAACCATTGTAGGATTGACACTTCTCAAGTGTCTTCCCTGGACTCCGGGGCAAGGGAGCTCCGAGTTTTCTCCAGCGTCTGCTTTAGCACTCTGGTCTTGGAGGCTGTGCCTCACACCAGCAGGGTCCCCAATTGCCTTACGTCAAAACTCAGAAACCATGTTTGGCTAATGTACTCTTTGTAGATAGACTTTTACCTCGTTGACATACCTGGCAGCAAACGTTTGTCTAAAGAATCCCATCTTCAGGCACCTGTTCAATTTTAGGCAGCAGCATTCTTGTGTGGTGGTTTCTTGAAGGGAGCTGTCCTTTCATCTCAGCATTACTGAGTGGGGTGTCCCATTTCCAGATGGCTCTCCTGGGCAGAGTGTCCCAAGCCAACCAGACTCCTCCATTCTTCCATTTGCCACAGACTTTTCATAACCACTTTCACTTTCCATCTTTAAAACATGATATTTGTACCCTAGAATCTTACCTATCTATGAAATTTATAGGATAGAGAAATGAACTCTATCAGAGACATTGTGATCTCCTCAGTGTTTATGTGATGTCAGTGCTAAATTGACCATGGAGGTGGTATTACCTGATTCTCTGCGAAATCCAAACATGCTTCCGTTTTTGTTTCTGTTTCTTGCCTTAGGGGGTGTCAGAAGAAGAGGAAGCCAATGTGCCTACTATCCACAATCTTGTTCCCATCATCAATGACCAGTCTCAGTACATTCATCATTTAGAAGCAGAAGTCAAGTTCTGCAAGGTAAGTTTCTCATTAAAATTTTAAACATAGCTACATTACAGTTCAGATTAGTGATGCCTTATGTGAAAGTTTGCTCTTATGAGTCTTCACGTGTATTGTGATACATTGACAGCTATCACCCTTACATGACTGAGGAGCCTGATGGGTTATAGAGGCTTTCTAAGCTGGGGAATGATGCTCCTGCCCGTGCCATTTCTGATTGCTTAATTTCCCAGTAGCCCATAACGGTGTCTGAGATTTTGATAAAATGCCCTCACATTTCAGAGTTTTTGCTTTCCACCCCATGTTCTTTAGCTCAGCTGATGTCACGTTCTTTGGGACAGTACGAGTGTTTGCTCTCCACCCCATATGCGTTAGCCTGGCTGATGGCACGTGCTTTGGGACAGTACAAGCGGTCACTCTCCCACACTTGTCAACCTACTTGTCTGCTGACAGAAGCAGGGACTGACTCTAAACTGCTAGACTAAGTCTATTCCATTGTCAGGGCGAAGGGTCTTCCCTTAGTTTTGAGTAAGGATGGCTCCTGGTTGTACTGAGCGCAATGATCGAGAAACCAAATGTGTCCACTATGGCTTGTAACACTAGATGGTTCTATGCTCAGCTGTATTTTTTGTATTATATATATTTTTTAATGCTTACTTATTTACTTTGAGAGAGAGAGAGAGCACACCTGCACTGGGGAGAGGCAGAGAGAGAGGAGAGAGAGAGAGAGAGAGAGAGAGAGAGAGAGAGAGAATCCCAAGCAGGCTCCATGCTGTCAGTGCAGAGCCTGGTGTGGGACTTGATCTCACAAACCATGAGATCATGACCTGACCTGAGGTGAAATCAAGAGTCAGATGCTTAACCAACTGAGCCACCCAGGCACCACTCATGTATTATATTTTTTACCTTCTGGTTACTCCCCAAGGTGCAAGTTGATATTATGACTTGAGAAGCCTTTAAGCATTTCATTGTCTTGACTTTACAAAAAAGTTCCTGATCTTAGCAGATCACTTTCTCTTTGTTCTTGGAGGGTACAATCATCCTTGCACAAATGTTTGTGTATTACTAGAAAGGCTGAGATAATATCCTAGGACTCATTCCATTAACAAGCTCCTGTAGATCCCTAAATAGGCTGTGGGTAAAACTTAAAAAATATTGTAGCGAAGATAAAAGTTCATCTGTACCCTCTTAGAGTTCTCACCTGGGACTTACAATTAAATTAACATAAGACAGAGTAACAGGATGAAAGCATACACATTGCTTTGTATTATTATTAAAGCATAATTGACATACAATATTCTATTATTTTCAGGTGTGCAACATTTTGGTTAACAATTCCATATATTACTCAGTGCTCACCACAACAAGTGTAGTGACCATCTGTGACAATAAAACATTATTACAATATTATTGACTATACTCCTTGTGCTGTACTTTTCATATCTGTGATTTATTTTGTAACTGAAAGTTTATACCTCTTAACTCCCTTTATCTATTTCACTCTTCTCCCTACCCACCTCTCTCCTCACAACCACCTTTCTGTGTTTAAGAGATTGTTTTTTCCTTTATGTTGTTTTTTAGATTCTATATATAAGTGAAACCATATGGTATTTGTCTTCCTCTGTCTGATTTGTTTCACTTAGCCTGATACCCCCTGGGTCCATCCATGTTATCACTTCCATTCATAAATCAGTGCACACACTTGGTTGTTTCCATGTCTTGGCTATTGTAAATTTTGCTGCAGTAAACAGAGAGGTGCATGTATCTTTTTGGATTTGTGTCAGTTTGGGGGGTAAATACCTAGCAGTGGAATTACTGGATCATATGGTTTTTCTAATTTTAACTTTTTTGAGGAATGCCCATATTGTCTTCTTCCACAGCGACTGACCAATTTACATTCCCACCAACAGTGCATGAGGGTTCCCTTTTCCCACATCCTCATCAATACTTGTTAATTCTTGTCTTTTTGATACCAGACATTCTGACTGGTGTGAGGTGATATCTCATTGTGGTTTTGATTTTTTTCCCCCTGATGATTATTGATGTTGAGCATCATTTCATATGTCTGTTGGCCATCTGTATGTCTCCTTTGGAGAAATGTCTATTCAGGTCCTCTTCCTATTGTTAAATCGGATTAGTTATTTGATGTTGAGTAGTGTAAGTTCTTCTATATTTTGGATATTTACCACTTATCAGATCTATCATTTGCACAGCTCTTCTCCTGTTCACTAGGTTTCCTTTTTGTTTTGTTAATTTCCTTTGCTGTGCAAACCCTTTTGATTTTGGTATAGTCCCAATAGTTTATTTTTGCTTTTGTTTACTTTGCCTGAGGAGACGTCCATAAACGTATTGCTAAATATAAGAGATGACTGCCTATGTTTTCTTCTTTAGAAGTTTTATGATTTAAGGTCTTATATTCAGGTATTCAATCCATTTTGAGTTTATTTTTGTGTATGCTGTAGGAATGTGGTCCAGTTTCATTTTTCTACATGTAGCTGTACACTTTTCCTAACACCATTTATTGACAAGACTGTCATTTCCCTGTCGTATATTCTTACCTCCTTTGTTAGAGATTAACTGACCATATAGGCATGTTTATTTGTGGGCTCTCTACTCTCTTCCATTGTTCTATGTGTCTATTTTTGTGCCAGTTCCATACTGTTTTGATTGCTATAGCTTTGTACAACTTCTTGGAATCTAGGATTGTGATACCTGCAGCTTTGTTCCTCTTTCTCAAGATTACTTTGGCTATTTGGGGTCTTTTGTGGTTCTGTACAAATGTTGGGATTATTTGTTCTGGTTCTGTGGAAAATGATATTAGTATTTTGATAGAGATTGCATTGGATATGTAGATTCCCTCAGGTAGCGTGGACATTTTAATGATCCAGTCCACGAGCATGGTATAGCTTTCCAATTGTATCTTTTTCAGTTTCTTTCATCAGTGTCTTATAGTTTTCAGACTATAGATCTTTCATCTCCTTGGTTAAATTTATCCCTAGTTATTTTATTTCTTTTGGTGCAATTGTAAAAGGGATTGTCTTAATATAGGTTTTATGTGACATGGGAGACCTCATAAGGAAATTATGTCAAAAAGAAATGGTAAAATCTTAATGCTTTTGTATGCTGTTGAACAAAGAGAGGCAATGTGGAAACATAACTAAAATATTTGGGAAGGCTAAAGGAAGATGAGTTCTTTTAATGAGGTCTGTTTGCACAGATTCCTCTCATCCTGCACTCCATGTCTCTGGTGATAAGAATGTTTCTTACCTCCTGATATGGGGAGGACATCTTTCACATGGGAGTTTTATCTCCTGTTTTCAGGAAAAAAAGCGGGGGAAGTCAGAGCACTCTTTTTGTATCTGCTGTTTTTCAAGCGTCTTTAGCTCAAAATAATTCTTATTCCAAAGTGGCATATTTTGGGGTGGCAGATTTTGCCACCCTTCAGTATAAATTGTAATAAACTTACCATCTGGTCGAGAAGAGAGTACTAATGTCTATGAGCACCATAGCAACACTATAGAGAGTATAATGTAGTCTGTATTCTGTAGTATAAGCTATAATTATAATATGAAGAGCAAGGTACTAAAAGCTGGAGCTTTGGGAGCTATTTTTATGGGAGAGAGAAATCTTCAAGGAGTAAGATCATTTAGATCAGCAGAAGTGGGGTGAAAAAGTTCCATAGAAAGAACATCAACAGTGAAAGGATATACTCACGATGAATATGGCTTATTTATGGGGGCCATGAGGCATCTATTCTAAATTTAGGCAGTAGAGGATGTCTGTTAGAAATTATTAAAACGATGCTGACCTGGGAAATGGAAGATTACAAAAGTCTTGAAAGGTAGACAGAGTATGCATTTGATACATTTTAACAAGAGAGTAACAGAATGAAAGTAACATTTAAGGGCTTATAAATATTTTACTTTAAAAAATTTTTATTTAATTTTAATTTTTAATATCCTTTTTAGTTTTGAATTTTTAGAAGTTTTTATTTATTTTATTTATAATTTTTAATTTTATTTTGAGTAAACTCCATGCCACAATTGGGGCTTGAATATACAACCCAAAGATCAAGAGTCGTATGCTCTACCAACTGAGCCAGCCAGGCTCCCCTAAGTTTTTATTTAAATTCTAGTCAGTTAACACACAGTGTATTAGTTTCAGGTGTACAATATTGTGATTCAACACTTTCATACAATACCCAGTGCTCATCACAAGTGTGCTCCCCATTTCTCTCCCACCCCCCCGACCTCTCACTGACCTCCTGTCTCTCTGGTAACCATCAGTTTGTTCTCTATAGTTAAGAGTTTGTTTCTTGGTTTGCCTCTCTCTTTTTTTCCTTTGCTCATTTTTTGTTTTGTTCTTAACTTCCACATATGAGTGAAATCGTATTGTATTTGCTTTTCTGACTAACATATTTCCCATAACATAATACTCTCTTGCTCCATCCATGTCATTGCAAATGGCAAGATTTGATACTTTTTTATGGCTTAGTAATATTCTAGTTTGTTATCTATACCACACAGTTATCCTTTCATCTGCCCATGGACACTTGGGCTCTTTGTATAATTTGACTATTGTAGGTACTGCTGCTATAGACTTTGGGGTGGATGTGTCCCTTTCAATTAGTATTTTTTGTATTCTTTGTGTAAATAGCTGCTGGGACAACTGCTGGATTGTAGGGTAGTTCTATTTTTAACATTTTGAGGAACCTCCATTCTGGTTTCCAGAGTGGCTGCACCAGTTGCTTTCCCACCAGCAGTGCAGGAGGGTTCCTCTTTCTCCACAGCCTCGCCAGCACCTGTGTTGCTGATTTTAGCCATTCTGACCGGTGTGAGGTGACATCTCACTGTAGTTCTGTCTTGTAGCTTCGATGTGTATTTCCTTGATGGTCAGTGATATTTAGCATATTTTCATGTGTCTGTTAGCCATCTGTGTGTCTTCTTCAGGAAAATGTCTATTCATGTCTTCTGCCCATTTCTAAATGAATTATTTGTTTTTTAAGTGTTGAGTATTAT